ACAGTGCACGTATTAGGGCTGCAAAGCAAGGAGATAGTAGTTAAAAGTGTAATTTTTCATCTTTAACCCTCATGGTCTTTATTGTTTATTTCTCATTACTTTAAACACTTTTCTGAATGGTCATCTCTCATTTCTAAACTTCTCAATAAGCATAATGGAAACATTTCAAAGCTGGGCTTAAGAGGGAGTGGTTAGTTCAGGAAGATAGTCTTTATAGTTCTAAACCTAAGAATTAATATAAAAGACACAAATTCTTTCCTAAAAGTTTCTGTTAATAGTGACATGAAAAAAAAAAAAAAAGGGTAAGAACAGTAATCAGATAAAAAAAAGATTGGTAAGAGTTTTCTTTAGAATGAAAGAAGGGTGTGAACTATTTTTCTATATAATCTACCAGTTTCATCAGTTGTAGATTATGTTCCTTTTTTAGCCTTGCTGCCTGTGTAGAACTTGCTCCTTTTTGCCCATGCTCCATTGGGAAAGAAATACGTACACAGGTAATGCAGCAAGTGTTATCTGGAAAAATGAATTATTCCTCCTTCTCTGTGGATCAGGGGTTTGATTCCCAGCAACAGCTGCTGCATCAGAACAGCAGAAAAAGAGATTGTGATAAAGACCAACAGCAATTTGTCCAATTCTTCCAACTTAAAATCTAGCCAGCAACCTAATAAACAATTACTCAGAAGTAGTAAGGAGTTAGTAGTAGGCAATTTCTATGGCTCATAAGCTTTTAGAGGTACCAGGTTTTTGTAATTTTTAACTTGGTTTTTATTACTGTGATAGCAATCTGCAGTCAACCTCACAAGATGCAATCATTTTACTGTGCTGGGCAGCCATCCACCAGCTCCTCAGGCACCGCTAGGAACAGGCTGAACGTCCTTACAAAACCATCTCAGGATTCTTCACAGCAGCTGTCAGCAGTGATGCAAGATTTATTAACAAGACAAAATTTAATTGAATTCAGTATGCTACTCAATAATGCAACCACTGTATCATCCATTCTGGCATTTGATTTCACATTAAATTGATGTTATTCTTAAATATTTTTCAGTGTGCCATACAATATTGCATGGGAATAATGACCATAAAAGTTGTCTGGATGTGGCTTTCACCTCCCCTCTAGACGTTTCTGGGATTTTGTTTGTTTTGAGGATTTTTGGTTGGTTGATTTGGGGGCTTTTTTCTTTTTTTTTTTTTTTTTTTTTTTGGGGGAAGGGGTCTGGATTTTTTTTTTTTTTTTTTTTTTTTAATCAAGGCTATTTCAGTGACTTTGCCTCAGTTTCCAATATAGCTTTGCAAACAGTTAAATCAGTATTGCTGAAGGATGGCACAGGGTTAATAACAGCGGCAGGGAGATGACTGTCAGAAGCAGGGGTGCTTTTCCCAAATAAATGTCATGGGACCCCTCCTGAGGCACCATCATTTTGGTGATCCAGCTGCGTCATTTTTGACAAAGTGCTGATACAATCATTTGTTTGGCTAAGACTGGGGAGAAAAACCAAACCAACCCCAAACCACATTATCATTTCTGCTTTTTGTCAGACATTTTGTCATTTTAACACAACATTTATGTTCTATACATTTAGTGGAAAACACGATAGGGACAGAAAGAAGAGCTGGAGAGACTGTTCAGAAAAGGCCTCTGTCCAACCACTGCTCAAACCCACCTCACACACGTGGCTCTTTCCTCTCCTCTTTGTTCACAGACTCACAGGATGGGTCAGGCTGGAGGGAACCACCGTGGGTCACCTGGTCCCACCTCCCTGCTCCAGCAGGACACAGCACAGGATTGTGTCCAGAGGGTTCTGGAGTATCTCCAGTCAGGAAAGCTCCACACCCTCTCTGGACAATCTGTTCAGTGCTCAGTCACTGTACAGGAAAAAAATTCTTCCTCATGTTCAGATGGAACTTCTGGGCATCAGTTCCTGCTCGTTCCTCCTGCCCCACAGGTGGGCACCACCAGCTGCTGTTGGGATCTCCTGTCTCCTACAGCACCAAACCACCCACCCATGGCAGGGTTTGGAAGCAAACAACTCCACCTGGGAGACAGAAACTCTGATCCTCCTACCTGTATTTCCCATGCGTTTTTTTGCACACCATTGACAACAATGCAAAATGAGTAACCCCAAATAGATATGAAAAGATTCAACTGATTCATAAGAGGTTTAACAGTAGGTGTTTTGTTCTTCACTAATCATAGATACTGTATTTTCAGTTGTTTTCAGAGAGAGAAGCATAAATAGAGCAGGATGTCTTGTTTAGCATGGGCTGATGTAACAGAAACCAGGAACAACACTGACTTTACAAGGAAACCTGTGTCTTAACTTGATTTCCTGAATAAAGGAACTCTGATAAGCATTTTGAAAGCTTATCTGGACTGATCCATTGAAAATGTGACTTGATCTTTACTGAGCAGAAGTCTCTTCAGAAGGTATTTCAGAACCTGCAGGTTCAGGTCTTTGGGATGGTGGTATTTTTCATTAGAGATTTGCCTGCACTGAAAGAATATGTAATAAAAACAAAAACCAATCACTTACTGAAAAAAAAAAAAAACAAACCCCAAACCAATTACATGATTGACAACAGAAGTACTTAAAAATCACACATTTGTCCTCTTCTTTGTAAAGGAAACAAAAACTATGATCTGAACAGGACCAATATAAATTTCTTAAGACCATATCCTGGTCCTTTTTTTAATATAGATTACCCTTGGGAAAAAATGTATCCATGCACTTTCAAACTTTTATATCTTTAAAATAGTGCCAGTTACATCATTACTTTCATGGTCTCTAGACCAGACTCCAGTAGCTTGGATGCCTACATGTAAGCATCTGAGTTCATCAGGGGAAGTGGATATTTTTGATTGAGAGGAAGGAATATTAGAGGGACTTTCTTCTCAGTGATACTAAGAAGCCATTGGACAAGTATTTTGTTATGTGAAGATTTGAATTCACAATTTCCAGTGAAATTTTTTGTATCTACTAGTGGCAGAAAAAGAACTGAGTTAAGAGTATCAAGACTCTGGAAAACATTGCAGATTCTCAGTGAAGCTTCCCTTTTCTACCCCAATTCCCAAGAAACTTTTGTCCCACTGGGACTAATGGCAATTTCCTTCCTCTCACTCAGCTCTCAATTTGCAATTACATACCCATGGAGAAAAACTGTTTTGACTATTCTCACAAGAGAAACCACAGGACTCACTTATAGACAGAAAAACCAAACCACCATTAGAGAACATCTCACAAACTGACTTGAATAGCACTGAGTGTATTTATACAAATACACAACTCAAGCTTCCAAACAAACCAAACTGCATCTCAAGAAACTGTAAGATGGGAAATTCTCCCAACCATTCCTAGGGATTTCCTGTTTCACAGGTTCCCAAGTGAAGTGCAGCTGAAGGGGAAAGCAAGGAAAAATGTACTTAAAGGCAGGGTTAGCTTTGGATTTTATGAATGTCAAGCTGATAGTAGAAACTACTTCTCTTCCTCACATCATCCTGTGAGAGCTCTGTGAGAGGCCTGTTCCAACTCTTTACTGACATGCACAAGACACAGTGGAGCACCCCTAGAGAAATTCCAAGCATAACCTGCCTCTTGATAATAGCAAACTTAATAAAAACCAGCAAACAAAAAAAGGACATTTCAGTTTGGTGTTTTGCTTATCCTACAGTTACATATGATGAACACGTATACATGCTTTGAGTACAACCCCATTGTGTCCTATACATCAAATTAATGGAATGCCACCATTTTTGGGAAGATTCAAAAATATAAGAGAGTTGTCCTACAGCAAATAAGTCTGCAGATTTAAGCACAACTTTTTATTTCATTTGAAATGCTCTGACTCACCCATTGCTGTAAGGGAATCCTGAACTGCTTAGACAAGGATGGAGAACTGTCATTGTTTGTGTTTCGTAAATGCAAGATGGAGCTGCTTGAGCTGAGGTTTTGACTCTGCCACACCCCATGTCCCAAAGCTGCTTCTGCTGTTTGCACCTTTAAAACTCTCACCTGTGCACCATTACAAGATTTAGTATCTACCATGTGCAAAATGCCTGATTTTAAAAGTGGTTGATGTTGTAAGAAATGGACAGGGAAAAGAGATTACAGCCAAAATAGTGTCTTAAATTGGTTATTGAAGATTTTGTCCTTTTAGACATCCACATAAAAAGCAACATGCACAACAGTTGAGGCTTTTAAAATAAGTAATTCCTAGATACTTATCAAAAAGATGTGTGTATGAAGCACTAAATTAAATCCAGTAAGAGCATGTGACATCCTCTGTTCTTGGAGAAAAACAAAAATACCAGATAATAACAGATTTTGGATAATATTGGATTCTGTCCCAGGATTAACAAAAGTTAACAAGATATCCATTCACCTAGTTTGCTGAGCATCAGGATTGGCTCTTTTCAAATGTTTACAAAAAAATCCTCGTAATTTTTCTCAGAGCTGGTTTAGAAATGTGATTTTTCATTTCCAAGCCAGAAAACCAGCAGGCTACAAAGGTATCAGCCCAGCAACTAATATTAAGTCAATACACATAAAACCACCATAGAAACACAAAGATGGGATTTTTTTCCTCTTCTTTGCAGCACTTGCCAAATTCTATTAAGTTACAACAGTCACTCTGAAGATAAGTTAATATATACACAGTATTTTATTATCACCTTCTCAAACTCCTGCATGGAAACACATGCAAGAAATGTCAATTTCTCTGCACTGTTTTGGAAGAGCAGAGATCCTTGCTCAGATCATCTCCTGTCAAACAAGGGATTTCTTTGGAAGGTGGCAAGTCATAAGCTGCCACATCTGGTTCCTAGGAGGAAGACAGACATTCACCTAAAACTATTACCATAAATGAAAGCATTTCCACATTTGGAATACACACCAAAAACACAACCAAAAGTGCTGAAGGTGGGAGGTACAGGCACAGCTGAAAAAAAGGTCTAAAAAATGACCAACAGTAGCACTGAAAAGGAACCACCCCCCGGACAAGCATAATTTTTGACATTATTTATTTCTCCAAGTCAGCAGAAACTGTCAGTTAGTACAACATAGATCTATACACAGCAAAAATAGGATACAGATCTTCTAACAATTGTTTCTTCTGCTGGTAGAGCTTCAGCAAAGGGTCCCTGCACTCATGCTGGCATGCACAGAACTGGTCTCTTACACAGCAAATCCACAGAACACCCCAAAACGCCCTGCTTTCTGAATTTCATCAAACAGCTCAGAATACAGTTAAGGTGATGGCACAAATTCATGGTTTTCCATGTTTGCACTGAATTGCTGACATGTTGCTGCACAGGGATGGATATTACTGCTTACCTGGTGACTGTGTGGACTTCTTATGACCATGAATTACCACTTAACTCCCAAATGCATTCCCACATTAAGCCTTTCAAAGACAATCCAGGTTTTAAACTCATCCTAACCAAGGACAGAGAGAGCAATAGACAAAAACGACCACATGATTCAAGCAAGACAGAATAATAATAATTAAAGTCTATAACCACAGCATTTAGCCTTTATTTTCAAAATTTTCATTAAAAAACCCTGTATTTTTTTCTTTATAATAACCCATTTCCTAGACTAGTTCACTCCCCTTACTACCCAATGCTGGGAAAGTATTTATGAGATTAAAAAGCAATTTTTTCTTCAACATAGTAATAAAGAGCATTGTGATGATTTTTTTCCTATTTTCATTAATAATTCTCCTATCCATGTATAGGTTTTCCTTATTGCTAGCAAAGCATTTGCATTTTTTGTGCGGAAAAAAAAACAACATAAAATGAATATATAAATGGGGTTTAGATCAGCTTCCCCAGTTTCTTGACCACCATATACTGTTAAAACACAGATCATCACACAACACCCACCAGAACTTTAGAGTGGGTAGTTAGAAAGAAAATTGCAGATAATTTAAATACAAACTCCTGGACAATAGAAAAGCCACTGCTAGAGTACAAAAAGGAAGTACCACAAGATTTTTTGTTCCAAATATCAAGAAAATTGTTCAGTAATTTATATTTACCTTGGAGTAAAAGAAAACAACAGTAAGGAAAACAAATGCAGAAAAACATTAATGAAACTCCTTTCTCCTTGACCTACTGGCAGATTTTACTAGTTTATGCTGCTTTCCCTCATGTGCCAAATAGCCACGTATTTTAGGCAGGTTGACTAAAATTTGGCAAGATGGCAACAATGTAAGTATTAATTTATGTTCTGTAGGACACAAAATGGCATCCTGTGGGTTCTGTTGGTCAGTCTGCATTTTTTGTTGCTGTCTTTCAATACATGCACGTTGCCACATGAATCCAAGGCTGTCTCATCACATTTTGCCTGCTCTGCTGCAAAAGGATTTGCCTCATAGTCTGAGGCCTCCTGAGCTACTGGGAGCATAATGTTGACTCCACACCTCAAAATCCTTAAAGAGCAGCATCAGTAGAGATCACACGTGGCTCCTGAGCTTCTGCAGACTCTTGGCTAAGGAGAGGACCTCTGCCCTCATTTGATTAGCTGGTCAAGGCTTGCAGCTGCCCAGAACTTCAAAGTTTTCAAAAATGAAAACCAAACCAATTGGAACTGATATACCCAGCTTCAAACACCACAGTTTTTCCAGGGGTAGATCTTGCTGCAGGTGACTATAAAGTATGCCTGGAGTACTTTATTTTGTGGAAGACCATGAGATTTCAATTGTGTCCAACAGGGACTGATCTACTGCTCCTTCAAATTTGCTACCTGACTTGGAAGTGACAGCAAATAAACAAACAAATAAGAACATCTGGAAATTCAAAGCCATCAGTTCAGGCAGGGTATAGGGGGTTAAGGGTGGCACTGACAGGACTAGAGAGGTAACTCAGGGGTTGTGACTTCAACTGCACACAAGTTTCAGCTGGACTAGGACTCTGCTTCTGTGGTCCCCTGATTTGCTCTGTTGTTCAACAATCCCTTTCTTCCACTGAGAAATGGTTTTGTCTACTCAACTTTCTGCTGATTTATATTCGGGATACTGCAAAGTGGAAATTTTACACCTGAGAGTCCAGAACCACAGAAACAATCTGCATTGAAATCCCATATTTATGGCACATTCCCAACCAGTCAGGCTCTTGGCACTGATTTTGGCACCTGAGGAAAGTCTGCTGAGAAAATCCATGACAGAGAACCACGGACAATACACATGAACACAGATGTTTGATCATAGTGTTTCCACTATTAGCAGACTGGCCCATTCCCAGAACCAAAAATAACTTGGGCTTTATCTGAATTTCAAACTTGCAACTCACAAGTTGCAAGAGACTTTAAACACAAGTGCCTGTCTCTTATACCACTACTCCCAACAAACTGGCAGCTGACTCTTTTATGAAGAAATGCAACATCATCAAACCAAGATGCTTTTTTTTGTTCTTCCTGCATTTGCATCAGAAAGCAGAGCTACATTACAAGAGTCTGCTTTTAAGAGCAGCATGGACACACTACTCAGTCTTCACTTGCATTATTTAAGACTTTGTCTTGACCAGGTCTCCATTCCTGCCAGTCTCTCTTCACCATCAGGACCAGAAAATGTGTGAGGATCCACCTGTAAAACACCACTGACACATTAGTTGAACACTTATAGAGGCAGAGCACAATTAGAGAGTGCAATTAAAGGAGAACCAGCAAGCAGCAGCATCCACTGCATAAGCCGGTCTTTGACCTTGTTCATGGAATTCCCAAAAGCAGCAAACGGCCTTTACTTTTGCTTTAGAGCACCTGGTAATCATCAAACAGGAAATTCAAATGGGAAAAGCCAGCGCAGACATGGAGCTTCAGCCGGACACCAGAGAAGCGATGCAGTGCTGTTACAGAAGGGTGTTCTGATCCATTTCCAGCAAAATGGGAATGAGCTGTGTCCTCCCACACCCACAGCAGAGCCAAGATCGAATGATCTGCAAACACCTTACTTAAAAAGCCCTAAAGCCTCCTGGCTGTGTGGTACTGTAAAGAGAAACGGGATTATTTGGGTCCTTAGTAGAGCTGGGAAGGGTGGAGGAACCCAAGGATGGTGTGGAGGCACAGGAACAAGCATGGATTTCCCATTCCTGGAAGTGTTCAACGCCAGGTTGAATGGGACCCTGAGCAACCTGGTCTAGGGGAAGGTGTCCCTGCCCATGGCAAGGAAATGACCTTTTAAGTCCCTCAAGGCAGTCTATGATGCTCAGGTAACGCTTCATCTACAAGTCGCACCGGTGCTGCGCTACGCCGTATGAAGAAAGGAAAACAAGCAGCAAACCCCCTTTCCTCCCCGCGCCTGCAGAAGCTCAGAGCTGTACTCACACGGAGCCGTGCCCAGAACCCGCGTTCCCCGGCGTTCCCCGGCGTTCCCCGCCGCTCCCCGCGCCGTCCTTCGCGCTCCCCGGCCGCGGCGGGCCCGGGCCCTCCCCGCCCTCACGCCCTGAGGCCCGCGAGGCATCGCGAGACTTGCCGCGCGTCTCGCGCCAAGCGCGCGCGCCGGCGGGGCCCGCTCCACCTGTCACGGGCTCCCGGGGGAGGCGGGGGGCGTGGGCGAAACCAACGGCGGGGGCGGCCCCCGCCCTTCCGTGCGACCGTTGTCCGCCGACCCAAGCATCTCCCTCGCAGCCCCGTTCCTGCTCCCGGGAAGCCTTTATTTCCCGCTTGTGCCAACAGCGCCACGCCCGGGGCGGGGCGGGGGGTGCGAGCGTGCCTACTGCCCCCCGCCGGTGGGACATGGCGCCTTCCTTAGCGGCGTCCACTCCTCCAGCCCGGAGCCCCCGTTACGCAACTCCACCCGTGAGCACAGCCCTCGCTCGTTCCTCCTCCTCTTCCCACCCCAGCGCCCGCCACTCCCGACAGCTCCCCCCTCCCCCGCCGTTCGCTTTTAAAGGCGCATCCCAACCTGCTGGTGCTCTCTAATCGAAAAGCTCGTCTGACTGACGGCTCGCTCGGCCTATCACAAATGGCGGAGCTCCTAAACCCCACCCCTCTTATCACCCACCGACCAATGGCGTGAGGCCGGCGGGGGAGGCGGGCGGCGAGGGCCAACCAAACCGGAGCGCAGCGGCGGCGGAGCGCAATGACTGACGTAAGTCAACAAAGGTCACGTGGGGCGCGGCGGCCCCGCCGATTGGCTGCGCGGCCGCGGGCGGGCGGGGCGGGACGGGAGGGGGGGTTCGCGGTGGCGGCGCGCGGGGTCCGCGGTGTGACACAATTACAACAACTTTGGGCAGCGGCTCCGGGGAAGTTTGTACGGGCGGCAAAACACACCCCGAGCCGCGGGGCGGGCGGGGAGGATCCCCCCGGCTCCCCGACACCTCGGCTCCCCGCGCCGCCGGCGGCGAGCGGCGATGTAAACACCGCTCCGCCGCCATCCGCAGCCGCCGCCTCCTCCTCCTCCCCCGAGTCGCCAGCGCTGGGGCTCCCTCCCCCCTCCTTCCCTCCCTCCCTCCTCCTCCTCCTCCTCCGAGCAGCGGGGCTTCCCCCCGCCTCCCTCCCTCCCTCTCCCCTCCCCTCCCTCCCTCCCTCCCCCTCCCTGCCGGCTGTTGTTGTTGTAATAAAAGTTGTGGTGTGTGTGTGTGTCGGGCACCCCGCCCCGCCCGGCGCTGGGGGGTGTTGGGGGCGCGCAGGGAGGGGGGGGTGCGATCCGCGAGTTAATTACGCTGCGTTTCCATGAAATCGTGCGGAGTGTCGCTCGCCGCCGCCGCCTCTGCTGCTCCTTTCGGTGATGAGGAAAAGAAAATGGCGGCGGGCAAAGCGAGCGGCCAGAGCGAGGAGGACTTCGCCAGCTTGACAGCCCAGGAGAGAGAAGCCCTATCCGGCCTCGACAGGTACCCGCTCCCCACTGCGCCCCGGCCGCCTCCGTGTCCCGGCTCGGCCCGCGCTCCCTCCGTGTCCCCCCGCTCCCCTGCCCGCGGCTCCCCGTGCGCCGCCGCTCCCGGGCCGCGCTCTGCCCTCGCCCGCCCGCCGCGCTGACTCTCGCTAACGCCGGTGCCTCTCTCTCCCCTCCCTCCCGCCCGCTCCCCTCCTCGCAGCCGGCTCTTCGGATTTCTGAGGCTTCATGAAGATGGCGCCAGAACGAAGGCCTTGCTGTTAAAGGTAAGCGCGAGGGTGGATGTGGAGCGGGGATGGGGGGGAGGGGGGGGTGAAACGGGGGATGGGGAGCGAGGCGGCCCCGCCGCCCCTTCCCTCGGGACCCCCGGGCCCGCACGGTGAGTGTGTGCAGGGGGTGTGCGGGGGGCACCGCCACCTCCGCGGGGTCTCAGCGCGTTGCTGCCGCCTTTGCCCCTTTCCTTTTTTACCCCCCCCTTCCCCCCGCCATTCTCCCCGAGCGGGACGAAGGGAGCGTGGCCATGCGGGTGCCCGTCCGGCCCTGGGACGGGAAAGTGGCGGAACCCGGGCCCGGGAGCGGACGGGCCGGGGGAGGGGGCGCGGGGGCGGAGGGGGGGAGGCGGAGGACGAGGAGGAGGCGGCGGCAGCAGCGGGGGGAGAGCGAGGGAGGGAGGGCGCGCTCGGCGCTGCTGACGTTGCCGCTCCCCGGACCCTCCCTCGTGATTTTCGCCCCCAGCCGCCGGGAGCGGAGCCGGGGCCGGAGCCCGCAGGGAGCGCGGGGTCCGGGCTGGGGCGGGCGCGGCGCTGAGCGGCTCCCGGAGCCCGTCCGAGTGACTTGTTTACTCTGCGGGCCCCGCTGCCTCCATGCAGCGTGCCCGCTCCTCGGCGAGCCCCGCGGCCCGCCCGCCGTCCCGGCTTGACAGGGAGCGGGGCGTCCCGCGGGCTGCTGCCGCCCGGCCCGCTGTCCGGAGAGCGCTGTTTGTCTCTGTGCAAAGTTGTTGGCCCTGTCATTTAGTTAAGTAATGGCTGCTCCTGTCGGCCCAAGATGGCCGGACAGGGAGGAGAAAGAGAAGGGGGGGGAGGTAAACACGAAACAAACACCGGGAGCGAATATGGGGAGCGTGGAGCCCCCGGTGAAGGCTGAGGGAAACTCTCCTGCGCATCCCAAGTTCTTTCTGGGCGCTTTTCCTGCTGCTTTGCAGCGCCGGTGCCCTCCTTATCAACCTGTAGCACGTTCTGCTGCCCATCCGTGAGCTGCTGACAAAGGCTGTGCGGGCCGAGTGTCTGCCAGCTGTGCTTAAAACAGCAAACGCCAGGGAAACGTTCGAGTAACAGAATAACTGGAACTGTTTTTGAAATGCCACACGGCTGAAGCAAAGGGGACAGTGCTACTCTAGTTCCTGCTTCCTGGCTTGTTCCTGTCAGTAGTGTGGCGTTTGACACTGCTCATCCCATTGTTGTGCCCGGACTGTATCGTGGAGGATTTTTTTTTTTTTTTTCCTGCTGCTGATTTTGGTTGATCTGAAGATTTGACTCTAAAGCGTGTTGAATTGGATAGCCTAGGCCTGTGCTTGTGTTTGGGTGTTTATTTCTGTCAGGATTGGAAAAGCTCAATGTCAGGACGTGGGGGGAGGGGGGAGGGATGGAAGGAAAAGCAAGTACACTTTCTTTTCTTTCTTTTCTTTTCTGCTTATATTTAAAAAGAAAAAAAAATCTCGCGGTTTCCTTTCGATTTTCAGAGTTATTTATAAGAGCACTTCTTCCCATTAATCAAAAAGGTAGGGGAGTGACATGCCAAACCAGTTAAATAACATTAACTGTTGGTGGACCAGAACTCGTGTCTGGTGTGTGAATGCTGGTGAGCCTGTTGGAAATATTAGACCAAATCCCGTATGGGATAGAGCTTAAGGATGCCAGATAGAAAATAAAAGCTTCACATCTAATTAGATCATCTGTCGCATAAAATCCCTGGTTTAAGTTTTATTTTGCGTACTGTAAAATTAAGCGGTGCAAGGAGCAATTCAGCCTATTAGTTGAGTTTTGTGCCTTTCTTACGTGTAATGCTTATTTTAAAATGCCAGTCAATTGTAATATTAGTGTATACAATATGGAGTTGCGGGGCATTTTGATAGTTTTGAAATATGTTTTCAGAATTATCTATGTATGTTCTTTTACTGTATTAAGCTGCGAATCCATGCAGTGAATGCTAAAAAAAAAATCCCCAAGCAGACAAAATATTTGCTATTTCACCTCAGTTTTCAGACAGTGTTTTGTACATTTATGAGTTGTGCAGTAACTCATGAAGCATGTTCTTTGTAAAACTTGTCTCTGAGAAAGGTAGATTACTTAAGGAAGTGGAAGGATTAAAACGTTGCTGTTCAGTGCAGAGATGTTCGAGAGGAATTTCTTGGTTTGAACCATTTTCGGTTTTGTTTGTGCTTTTTACTTTGAAGGAACCTGCTTATGTTTCTGTTACTGATAAGAAGTTGCTATTTTTAAGGTATTTTCTGCTTTGTTTCTGTTCTGTGTGAAGGTTTATGCAATTTATATTCTATTGAGGGCTTTAGAACAATTAATCTAGCAGACCACTTTAATTCAATGTAGCAGTTATTTTTATAGTAGAAACTGTGGCCGAATATATGTGCAGTTAATTAATAGGTTTTATAGCGATAGCAGCAAAATGTTTCCTTTTGTGCATGGAGCAACAACAGCTAACAAAGACCCTAGACTACATAATTATGAAATCCTGACTGACTGATTTAAGAATCTACACGGCAGCGCGTTACAGTGTGAGATTTATGTGCAAGCGTAGCAGGTAAGGAAAACCATTGAGTCATGTTTCCAGAGGAATCCTTCACAAAGGCAGAAATTTATCAGTGCTCTCCTGGATGCGAGAGGAGCACACCCACCACTGAACCTTTTCCAGATGCTGCCAGGCTGGAGCAGTGAGTGCTCTGTGGGGCCTGGCAGTGCTCCTGGTTACCTGAGCTTGAGGTGGCAGGAGCAGGGTACCTGTCTGGGGAGGCTCATGGCAGGTTTTGGGTTGTAAGTATTTGGGGAACAGCTCCCTTCCCTGCTTGGGTACTTGTGCACCTGGAGGAATCTGTTCTGGGCTTAAATTTGGTGCCTGGGTGCGAGAAAACACTCCTTATTTTTGGTGGGGGTCACTAAGGTGTGCATTGGCTTGGAGGGGATTGCTGGAGGCCTTTGCAGTGGGAACTTTGATTTAACAAAGCCACACCCTGACAGGATTTAATAATAAGAAAACTGGGATCTCTTTGAGGGATGGAGGAAGCTTCATGTCTAGAGCTTTAATTTAGTTGTGGGTTCTATTTGTGCTGCAGGTCTGCAGTCCCCCATTTTTTGGTGGTTTTACTTTGCATGATGTATGGGCTGTAGTATCGTGAACTGAGCCAAGCTGTGCTGCTGGGTGTAGCAAATCAAAAGGGCAGATAGGACATGAGATCTGTACAATTTTATGAATCACTGAAGGTATAGATTAAGGGTCAAGAATATTGTAATGTTGCCCCATGTACTGGATGTGTGATAAGCCAAAAGAAACTTTCCTGTAATGGTGTACACGCTGTGAGTATGTCTCACAAAGGAATGGAATTTTCTGTTGCCAGAAATTTCGTGTTTATTTTGCAGAAAAAGGAGCTTGAAAATCATAGTTTGCAGTTAGTGTGGTTTTGGGGAAGAGGGGAGGGAAATTAAGAGATCACCTTTCAAACTGGTTGAAGTGCTGGAAATCCAACGTAGTCAGTCTTGTGCTGGAGAAAGTGCTCACTGTTATGCTTCCGTAGTTGACAAGAACATTAACGTGAAGGAGGAAAAAAAACTCAAAACAAAAACCCTGCTGGTGTCTTGATGTCTCTTTCTCCCAGGAAGGCATTCTGGCAGGAGGTGAAGCTTAAAGATTACTTGGTGGGGGGGAGGGTGAGGATATCCATTGTATTGGAAGTGAATTGCAAAGCATTTCCTTTTTTTTTCCCTTTTTTTTTTTTGGATGATGTTTCCAGTGTTTAGCCAAAGTTGACTTGATTGCAGTGACAAACCATCGTTTCATAAGCTGTAATTGGCATCTATACAGATGTAGGTTGATGTAGCTGGTCTGATGTATTGGGTATAAGATGCTTGTTAATTCCTATTCATTGAGTTTAATCAGTTTGTCATATCCTGTGGACAAAAACTGAAGCATGTTTCCATTTAAAAGTATTGATGTTGAAGTCGATTGGAGAGATGAAGTAGTTCCACACATTATGCCATGTTTTAGTCTGTGTTACCTCTCATGGATTAGCAGCCCTTTTGTTTTCCAGCTGATTTTAAAAATGGTACTTCCTTTGTGTAAAGGCTACATGTGTTGACAAAATTAACAGCGTGCTTATCTGTGCTTTTATGAAGCTTACAAAATAAATGCACAGTGACAATAGTCTTCCGTATTTCTTATAGTTGTAATGTTGCTTGTTTAAAAATATTTTCAGATAATGTGAATTAGTATGTCGACTTTGTCCTTTCAGTGTTGACATTAATGTTAGTTTCCTACTAATCCATAATAAAATATGCTAATTTTTATTTATAACAAACGGCTTGAAAAATAATCATGCAAGAAAACATTTCAGCAGGTTAATCTCGGTGTAGTACGGTGTAGTTTCTGTTGGTTTTTTTTTTTTAATAACTGGAAAGATGTAACTTGATTTATTTTCATCAAAACAAAGAAATATTGCTTGAAAAAGAATTAAGAATGTTTGTCTTATATAATGGCAGTACTGGGAATTGAGAAACTGGAAACTGGTACCAGGAGACATTTGTAAGGCACTCCAGGAAGTGGGCAGACTCTCCAGTTTCTGTAAATTTATATCTGTGTTGTTTCTTTTTGTTTGGGTTTGGTTTTTTTTTTTTTTTTTTTCCATATATTGTGCATTTCTATTACTGGTTTATTATCTAGTGTACTGTCAGTGCTGTGGAACAAGTTGAAGTTGGATAAAATTTTGTAAATTGTGTTGTGCGTGGAATTGGTTTTCTAGGATTTTTTTGAAGGAGTCACTTTTTTTGAGTGTGTTTATTGGGTAATTTTAACTGAGCCATAGATTTCCTTAAGATCAGGTTGTTGTTGTTTTTTTGGTTTTTTTTTTTTTTTTATGCAGTTTGTATTAATAGAGTGCAGCTTTTTGGGATCCTGTTGAGGTGTAAGGGGTGACACATTCCATAGTTCCTGGTTGTACAATGTTTATTGGAAATCACAGCCATGGTGTATATCCTGGCACTTG